AGTTTGGATATAAGAATTAGCTCAAGGAAATAACCCACATCTAATGAATTGAAATGTAAGAATGGCCGTTACTAATAAGCGGTAAATTTGTCCAAAACTTAATTGGACATTTCTACTGAAGAGGTCTTAGCAAAAGGCTTGACCTTTGCCGTTCCAACTGGTGAAGACTTCAGAGGAAATTTGGTAGAATTGATAGGTTCAACAGATAGTTTCTCAAAGGATACTAAAGGGTGACATTGAACTACAAGTTGTCTCTTTAATTGATTGTCATGCGGAAACACCATATAAGAATAGGGCAGTTAAGACTATTATAAGGATGTTTAAGGAGAACGAGCTACTAGCATTACGAACAGACAAAGGAGGAGCAATAGTAGTTATGGATAAGACTGATTATGTAGAGAAAATGTTGTAGGCGTTAGATGATGATAAAACATATAAGATTATAATTAGGGAACCTACAGAAGACATTAAGGTCAGACTTAAGGGGTTCTGCAACAATGTATAAATGGTGGAGAACTGGAAAAGTTGAAAAATGAATGCACTTCTCCATCGAGATTATAGAATCCCAAATGCGTATGGTCTGTCGAAAATGTAAAAGTAAGATACAACATTTAGGATGATTGTAAATAAAGAGATGGCTTGATGCATAATAATCACGATTTATATGTACTCAGATAATGCACATCTCCGAAACTTTGAAGTTTCAGTAAAGAACTCCTAAGACTTTATTAATTTAATTGATGATCTGACGATAGAAAGTGGAGATTTGCTGTTTCGATTTACTGTGTATTTGAACTAACATTTCCATAGAGGCAATGAAGGCGTTAGAATTAAGTCTAAATCAACACCCGAAAATCATAACAGGTAAAAAGTTAAGCAAAGGTTCAATAATTAGATTAGTCTATTTGGTAATGTATAATACATATTTTACTTTCAACGCTAAGTTGTATAAGCAGACACGGGGTTTGGCTATGGGATCTTGTTTGGTCTCTACTGTAACTAATAACTGCATGGCCCAATTCGAAGTTAGAGTTTTTCAAGTGGCACTCTTAGTTCCAAACTTATTAGTTCGCTCTATGGTCGGTTACTTTGCTGTTTGGCAACACGGCAAAAATAATTTGGGGAATTCCTTGAGCTAATAAATAGAATAGATGCAAACACTAAGTTTGCGATAGAGTTAGAAAAGGAAAATAAATTGCCTTTTTTGGATGTCTTAGTGAGCAAAGGTAATAAGTTAGGTAAAGACGTATATAGTAAACCAACTGACGCGGGTTTCCTTATTAATTTCTTTTCGAACCATAGATATAAAGTAAA